CAAAGGAGCGTAAATAGGGCTTTATAAATAACCCTCATCCATCCTGCCTGAGCCTCTGCATAGAATGCAAAATTCCCCAGACCTTTGTCTGTTCTGTTGTAGATAAACTCTTGTGTTCTGTGACAAAGCAACAATCTTAAGAGAAGATACACAACATGAACTTAACTTTGCACAAGACACTGCGTTTTTACTGTAGCTTTTTCAAATGAACCCTTATACTAAGTGGCCACCAAAGTTAGCTCCGTTTTCCCACTAGGCACCTGTACACGACAGTTTGGCTACCAGAGCTCGGATACAACCAGAGCTTACCGGAGGCAGGAGGATAGCGGAGTAGGGAAGTACCTGTGCTTCAAAGTCAGCACACCCAGGTTTGGATCTCAAGTCTTCCACTTACTGTAATAGAAATGGGACCGTGTTCAAAGTTATTTGAGTTCTACAAGCTTCAGGCTTCAATTTCTGTCTTCTACAAATAGGGATGATCATCACAGTGTCTACTTTATATGTGTTTATGAGCATTAAGCGAGATAATCTATATGGAGTTTATTGGTAGAACCAAACGCCATCAATACACATTAGCTGTAATTATTTTCATTATTACTTTTGCCTCAGTCCCAAGCTCCCAAAATTACTTGTGACCTCTACTGCTGTGGTCTTAAATCCCACAATGTAAACCATGAAGCTAATCCACAAAACACAAAGCCGAGGCCAGTGGGTAGTGATTGGCAGTCTTTAAAACAAGGGGCACAACAAAGGGAGGGTCTCAGGGCTTCTCTCCACAAATACTTCGGCTCTGCCCGGGTGTTATCTCCACAGCAGGTCCTGGTGGCAGTTCATTCACTGTACCCTCAACGAACATTGAATCAACAGATCCACTGTGTTCCAGTCCTCGAACCAAAGATTAGTTCAAATCTTAATCGTTCAAAGATGAGTTCAAAGATTAAGGATCCAAAGATTAATAAAAGAACCTCTGATATTCAGAAACTCACAGACCGGTTGTGAAAACAGGGATTAAACGATCTGCATTATCATACAACGTAAAGTCAGTTCCAGGAGGCAGAGCGTTGGTCCCCTGTGTTCACTGCTGGGTCCCCAGCACCTAGAAGAGTGCCTGGCAAACAGTAGGTGCTCAAATATGTATCAAATGAAGGAAAGAGAACTGGATATTTTTAATGAAAGTATGCACAGGGTATTCTGAGAGCATAAAGGAGGGACGGTTTAGATTATAGTAGAAATTTAGATAAGCAGAGAATCATAAAAGTAATGCATAAATATATACTATAAATATTTAACTTACGACACGAACATGTTTGTTTTTTAATCTTTTGATATAGACTTAATTTTTTTCCATTAAGTACAAGTCCACTAACCATTGTTTATTGACTCTTTCTTGCACAAACTGTCCCTCATCCTTCATTTATGATTTCCAGTTAACATTTCTTGGAGTAAAGCAAGAAATTAGAGATACTTGTGAAGCCATCACAGGGCCTGAATATTTCTTGATTCTCAGGCTCTTCCTTAACCCTTTGCAATGGCTTGTTTGACGTCATAGATTTTAGAAGACTTCTGCATAAAGTCTTATCAGAGCATTTGATGATGTTTAGCAGAAACGATTCTCTGACTTTTCTCACTCCGATTTCCACCTTATGTTTATGTGAATAATGTCACATCAAGTACAACTGGCATAAACAGGTCTGGGAGCAAACTCAGCTCACCCTGTGAGAGCAAGTGCATGTGGGCACACTCGTGACAGCTGCCAGCCATGAGCTCCAGGTGTGCCGAGGGCCTCAATCGGTGTGTTTCACACAGGAAAGGAGAATGCCCGCTAATCCGGTTTGCCTGCTAACTGAAGATACGCTAAAGAGAGTTTCTAGAATGTTGAAAGAGTAGGTCTTCCTTAAGGAACCAAGGAGAGGGATGGAAGGGCGTGCAGGCATGGACAGGAACACTTACAAAGCTATGAGCAAACGTGGCCCTGTGGCATCATTTTACATAACTTTCGTGACCAGTGCTGGAGTGCCATGGAGATAACGGGAGGGGAGGCTGGAAAGGCGGCATAGGCACAGAGCCGGGGGCTTGTGCCAGTCATCACATGTGGCAAACAGTTGACAATGAATGCTTTCCAGCAGGTGTAACCCGCCCGTTTCCCGCATCCCACTGCTCCCAGGCTCACATACTTATGCGACCTGCCCGGGCTTCGAAATCACCTGATTTTGCCATCCCAGCTTAGGACTTGGGAAATCCACAGCGACTGTGGAGTGGGGAAAGGACATGATCAGATTTTCCTTTAGAAAAATAACCGAGACAGAGCTGTGGAAGTCGGGGGGTGGGGTGAAGGTGGCCATAACTGCTCTGGAGACAATTGCAGAAAAGTCCAGGTGAGAAGGGGTGAGGGGTGGCAGGTGACAGCAGTAGGAATAGCGAGAAAGAAATGGCTCCAGAGAGATTTTTAGGCTTGTTAGATACACAGAGTGAAGAATGGGGAAGAATCTTGGCTGACACTCAGATTTCTAGCTTCAGTACCTTTTAAAAGTGGTGATATCTTTCACAGAGATGGAAATCGCAGAGAAAGGGAAATAAGTTATGAATTTTGCTGCGTTTGGAGTGTCTGGAGTATCCAGGCGGGATGTAGAGCAAGAAGACATAAATCCTGCGTTTAGAGTTGAAGTACGCAGGGCTGCAGAAGTGGATTGAGGATGAGGAGCGCCCACCACACACAGGGAGTGGCTGGCGCCAAGCGTGTGGATGAGACACCTGTGGAGGGAGCTTAGAAAGAACCAGAACATTGCTGGACACTAGGATTTAAGCAGAAAGTCTAAATATGGGGCAGGCAGGGAGACGAGAGGGAGGAGAAGCTGGGGACAGGGTGAGGGCAGGAAGCCTTGGGGAGAGCAAGACAGAGAGAGGGACCACCAGCAGCAAGTGCTGCGAAAAGAACGCCTAAGGTCAGGATGGAAAAGGATGCTTAGATTTCACCACTAAAAGATCCTGTGTGATTAAATATGAGTCCTTATTACTGTATGATTAAATAAGATCCTGGGAGCTGAGGAAGGATGGGAAGTAGGGAAGTGCGGACAGTTATCCTAAACAGTCTTTCAACGTGTCTAGGAAGCTAGTGGGAGAAATAGAACCATTACTGATGGGAGAGGCTTCAGGTGTCTTTTGTAACAGTAAACGAACAACCATTCTGCAAACGGAAGGAGCCAGAAGAGAGAAATGGGATTGAAAATAAACAGGAGAGAAGGGGAGGAGTGGATGGCATCTAGAACACAGGCAGATGGAGGAGGGAAAAATTAATAGTGGGCAAATGAATTTGCAGTTCGGGAAGAAGTCTGTGAAGCCCGGGTCTGGGTAGACAAGATCGTCTACTGAGAGGGGGCCAGGGGCAGGGGCAGGTGGGAGACTTGAAGAAAACACGACAGAATTGAATATGTTGGGAGGAACAAGAGAGGAAAGTGGCCCTGAACACCAGTAAGGACTCTGGGCAGCCTTGTGTGCTGGCTGAGTCAGAAAACCACGCGTCCACAGGGAACCTGCTGTGAACGGAAGCTGATTTCCTCTGGCTCCGCTCTGAGGCCTGGCATGAGGGCAGAGGAACAGATGATCGGATGGCCCAGGTGTGCCTGTTTGCAGAGCGTGCACCACGACAGAACGAGAGTGAGTGTGTTAGTCCACTCTGCGCTGCTGTGAGGGAACAGCTGAGGCTGGGTCATTTATAAAGAAAGGAGGTTTGTTTGGCTCACGGTTCTGCAGGCTGTATAAGAAGTGTGGCCACAGCATCTGCCTCTGGAGAGGGCTTCAGGCAGTTTCCAATTAAGGCAGAAGGCTAAGGGGAAGCAGGCTTGTCACATGTCATGAGAAGGAGCAAGAGAGGGAGGAGGCAGTGCCAGGCACCCTTAAACAACCAGCTATCAAGTGAATTAATAAAGCAAGAGCTCATTATCTTGGGGAGGGCACCAGGCCATGCATAAGGGATCTGTCCCCCTGACCCAAACCCCTCCCACCAGGCCCCAACCACACTGGGGGTCAAATGTCAACATGCGATTTGGAGGGGCCAAACATCCAAGCCATATCAGTGGGGAGTTGAAGAAGCTGCCTACAGGTGGCTCTGGGATGCACGGTGAGATCCCGGCTAGATCAGGAAGGAGGCAAAGCCAGGACGGTTGACAGGCTGAGAGCGCAGAGTCACCGCTGCGGTCACAATGCGTACAAGAGCCAGTTAGTCCTGACGTGGGCGGGCACGGGCGTTCCCTGAGGTTTATTTGCATGCAGCAAAAGCTGTGACCATCACTTCATTCTAGACCATTCTAGGCCAGGATTCTTCTTCAAAGAGCCTAACACAAGCTGGTTCGTCTGCAGATTCAATGACGTGAAGCTTAGTGGAGCTGAAATATGTTATTTAAGGAAACTGATAACGTTCTGTGATGTGCCTTCTACACATCGGGACCTCTTTTTGGAAAATCAAAACCCACCAAAATTTGCTCCTTTGTTTCTCCTAGACATTCAGGCTAATCTTGCACCAAAACTTAAAAATAAGGGGATACTGAAAACTCTGGAAATATGCCTCTTTTGCATAAGATTGTTGACCAGTGTAAATCCAGTGTAAACTAGATTTTCTTCCTTAGCCCAGTTTTAAGATCAGCTACCAGTGTTTTGTTAACACTGGAAAGTGAAAAAAGAATAAAAGGACCTGCCCCTTTTATTGCCTGGAGAAAGGTTGCTTTTTTTAAACAACAACAACAAAAAAAAGCAGCGTTTGTTTTTTTGTTTGTTTGTTTTCAGTAACAGCATTTTTGTGGGGGATTTCAGTGTTAAGTTGGAAAGCGATCACAGAAGTGAAAAAAAAAGCCACTCGAATTTATACAAATAGACTCGTGTGGGTCTGCATCAGTTTGGAATTCAGTCTACTGCAAAGATGTTCTAAAAGTGCCCGTCTGTGACCACCAGGCTACTGAGATGTTGGACCTTTGTACAATACTAACCAGCCCTTTTTCCATTTTAAGGTACTCTGTTCTCTGCTACAAGTCGAGCGAAGAGCCCCCCGTGAGCCCTGACACCTGTGCCACCATTTTGGAAAAAGCTGGTCTCGATAACTGGGCTCTTGGAAAAACAAAAGTAATGTTTTCACGTAACTTTCAGGAAGAAGTGAACAATTACGTTAGATTTACTGAGAATTATAACATTTTACAATGATTGAAAATATTGTAGCTTTTTATGTTACAGAATCTCTAGCTTAAAATAGGGGGAAGTAAATTTATAAATTCCTAACGGTTTCTTTCTTCATCAAAATTAAACACTTTTGCCATTCATAAAGGTTTCTTTTTTTTTTTTTTAATTTCAGCATATTATGGGGGTACAGATGTTTAGGCTATGTATGTTGCCTTTGCCTCCCCACTCCCCCCCAAGTCCAAGTTTCAAGTGTGCCCATCCCTTGGATGGTGCACATTGCACTCTTTGTGTATGCAAATACCCATCCTCCCCTCCCCCCTCCCTATAAAGGTTTCTTTTAAGAAATACAAGAAAAATTTATCTTGAAGATTTATCAAAAATAAGGATAAAACTTAAAATTAATATACTTCACTTCAAATGGCATTGAAAACAGTCATATGTTTTCTCCATTGTATAGTCAAATATACTCAAAAAGCTGTAGAGAATTGTAATGATCTAAATAGGATTCCTGTTTTTATTTGTTTTTCCTAATTCTCAGATCTGCTTCTATCATAAACTTGAAATTTATCTGGGTTTAAATATTCACCATTATTACTGGACTCATTACATGTGTTTGGACATTGATGTGTTTATATATTAGCTTTTAGAGCCTATGAGATCTTAGTTTATTTAATCTCTTGGAGAAGAAAGTAAAACATCATAGCCAATTTTGAATATGGAAGTAAGGACAGGTTGCTGTTTGGAGAAAGCACTGGGCTTCTCGAACATCCTTTTAGCGTCACCAGGTGGGGATAAGGAGATAAACAGGGTACCAGCGCACACTACATGTATCTTAGGAGGGTACTAAATGTGTCACTGGGAGATGGGGAAGACAGCCAAGCTAAAGCAGAGCTACTCAGAGACTGACCACTCAAGAGTAACCACCAGCAGCAGGACCACATAAGTGAGCCAAACAAACTTGCACATTTGCAAAGAAATGTATTAATATATTAGCTGTGTTGGTGGTGAGGGATGTGGGAGAGGATTTTAATAATGGTCAGATGAGGAAATTAAGTCCCTTAAAAATTTTAGAGAGTAAAAAAATGAAGTCTACCTTAGACTGAGTGTCCTACTTATTCAGAAGTAGCCCATATTTATTTTAATATTTAGCAAGGGGATATTTGGGGCATTTAAAAAACGTGTATTTTAATCAAACCATTTTCTTCTGGATGCTTACAAAGATGAATTTCGTCAGGTGAAAATCTCATGATTTATGGTCCGAAGCACATGCCTAACTTCAAATGGAGTTTTAACTTATAAAAAGGCCCTTCACTGTTCTGGTTCTCCATGATATTTAAGTAGCATTTTAAAGCTATTTGTATTTTTCCACTTCACCTTTTCCAACTCATTAACATGGATAAAAGTATTTAATACAGGAACATTTCCAATGCCATAGGAAAAAAATATGATGACCTTTTTAAACAGATTGAATTTTAAATGAATTGTCAACAGCAGAATGGACTAAATATATTAATGTCTAGAGTCCTGTAGAAATTAAAACTGAATTAAATCGAAACTGTAATGCTAAATTGTTTGCCTATGGTGTCAAGCTTTCAAGTAATGGAATGCTGAGAAAATTCTCCAGTCAGGGTTACCAGGTCTATAACTCAACCATAAAATTTGAATTCAAGTTACTATCTCGATGAATTTAGTAAACTCTTTGAGGTGACTTCTATTGGTAAATCTAGGCATTAAAAGAAAAAAAAAAAAAAACCCTGTCTGTTTCCTTGGGGAGGAGAGGACAGAGCTAAAGACTGTTAGCAGAGAATATTCCAGGCCTTCAGGTTCCTCCCTTGCTGGGATTCATGTTGATTTTAGAATAATCAAAGGTCAACCCTCCTTTCTCCCTGACAGCCTTTGGGTTTCATAAGAACATCGAACCGCCTGGGCCGTCTCTCTCTGCCTACACTGGCGAGACTCCCAGACCCCACAGCACAGTGACCCTGTTTTATTTGTCTGTGTATCCCCAGCAGATAAGCACATATAATCGGTCTCAATACATACTTGGTGAATGAACTCATATAACTCTAACTGTCCTCTCTCTTACAATTAGATTTGTAAGATTTTTAAATTTGGGAAATAAAATTGTATTTAAAAAGTAAAAAGCATAAAAATTAGCTTAGCCCAGAATATATGATATTAAAACTTTGCTGAAAGAGTTCTACATCAACCACTCTTGTTGGCCCATCCAACAAAACCAAAAGTTACCTGCTGTAAATGAACAGAGTGAGTGCCATCTTCTGTATTTCTTCTCGAAGGTTTTCTTCAAGCAGAGAAATCTATGCTGTCATAGTGACATCCAAGCCAAAGAAGCACAAGATGGTGACTTCCAAAATCTAAAGGGATTTAGAACACAGTCTGCTCAAAGCATAGCGCACAACTGCTTCACTTTTCTGTGTGCCATGGTTTTATTTGTATTTGATTTTAATTTTTTAAGGTATTCCTTAAATATTATCATGTGGAGCAGTTAAATCTAATGCGAAAGGAAGCCATTGACAAGCTTATTTTGATTCAAGCCTGTGTCAGAGCATTCTTGGGCTCAAGAAGATACCAAAAAATACAGGAGAAAAGAAAAGAAAGTGCTATCATAATACAATCAGGTAATCATTCAGACTGTCTCCCAGTGTAACAAAGCATAATGTTATGTTTAGATATAGCATAAAATCGAATCTCATGATACTTCTTATAGACCAACCTCCAATTCTTACGTAGCTTTTGCATGGCCTTGAAACTTTCTCTGTACTAAAGCTAAGTCAGACTGTTTTAGTGATTGACATTTTTAATATATGAATAAATGTTCTGTTTCATATAAAATAATTTAAT